AGAGCCTGGTACTGGAGGAGGGAAGAAAAGGTGTGAAGTCCAGGTCAGAGTGAGCTACCAAAAAAGGGTGGAGGTCCTCGGGCCTGGAGCTGTTCCACAAAATAGGCTGAGCAAATCCCCATAATGCCAAGCCACGAGACAGTGTTTCCAGGGGGAGCATACATTTGCTGTTCCCCTCCCACCTCTAAAAGTACAGAGTGTACAAGTTACCCTTCAGCCCCCTTTGCCTCTTGAGAGACAATTAGGCCCTAGAGCTCCATAAAACTTGAAAATTGGAAGCAGGTGTGCTCTGGTAAATGTTTAACAGCTACTCCCTGGGGGAAAACGTATGCACACTTTTCAATTTAATCTGCATTATTAAAATTGTCTCCCTTTAATTTGTTAAGTCTAGATAGAACAGTGCTGCTACATAAGGATCTTTGACCACTTACCTTTCTTTTGTTTTCTAATTGTTTTACTCATTTTAAACTTAAATGCAAAATGAGAAATGAAGAAAAAAAAAGAACATTGTCAAGTATACAGCAGAACATAAGAGAACATTCAATATAAAACAATATATTTCCATCTCAAGAAAACCTATGAAATAAATACTGCACATTGTTTTCAAAGCTGACCGGCTTTTCTTTGCTTCCTGGTAGGTTTTCTTTTGTTCTCTGCTGTGTACTTTTCACTTTTCCCCCTCCCTAACCTTATCCCCCAAAGAAGGCTACAAGTAAATGCAGACACACACACACACACACACACACACACACACAGACATACATATATACACACACATATACATACATACATATACATATATACCTATAAACATACATATATAAACTCACACACACATATATATGTATAAGACCATATTATGCATATTTCTACTTGTCATCTGTTTCTCAGAAGTCCAAGTCTTCCCATGTTTTTCTAAACCAACCAGCTCATCATTTCCTACACCACAGAAATATTCCAACCCAATCACATCCTATCTGAGAGATTGTCTATGAAAGTTTTTTTCCCCAGTTTTCTGCATTCCTTCTATCCTTGACTACATTGGTTTTATGATCACTTAGTTTTAAAATGTAATGTTGTCTATATTTTATCTTATTTTATTTATTTTGTTAAATATTTCTCAATTACTGTCTATGTTTTATCATATTTTTATTTATTTTGTTAAATATTTCTCAAGTACTAGGGAATATTGTATTTTCATTTATTATGTTAAATATTTCCCAATTACATTTTAATCTGGTTGTGGCTGCACCCTTGGGAGTGTTGCTGACCATGGGTGTGTGCAATCTCTGGTCTAGACAATTGACAAAACAGTCAAACTTGGATTTGTAGTTTGCTGTTTTCGAGATGTAAATGCTCACACTGGACATCGAGCAATCACCTTGAGTTGGTAAGAACTGGCTCAAGCACACCTCTGGTTGCAAGATCACCCAAGGCAGAATTCAAATCTGAACCCAGGTCTTTTGACTCGTTTATGTTCTTATCACTACATTCCATGGGGTAGATAGTTGATCAGAACATATATGCTTAAGCTATCTTTTATTTGTTCTTGCTCTGTTACTTGTAAGTTTTTTCCCCATAAAATCAGAAACTACTTGGGGGTAAACAGACTATAGACATTAGAATAGAAATGTCTCCCCAAAAGAATGGATTTTTAAGATGGTGGAAGCCAGGTTGGTTTAGCAAAATATGGGATCATTTATCCCAGAAAGGTTAGGTACAGGACCTGTTCCCATTTGGAATAGGTTCAGAGGAACAGGTTCCATCTACCAATTTTTTTTTAGCAGCAAAGTCTTTGTTGGCAGGACTCACAAGCAGAGCAGGCATGACCCAGGAGTCACCTTCAGTACTGGACAACATCTGCCTCCCAGGGCTGTTGTCTCAGTGAGTGGCCACTCCCAGAATGCTTTATGTGAAGCTAACATGGACTCTGTCTAATCTGGGCAGTCAAGGACTGTATTCTCAGTAGACTGTCATTGAGATGTGAACCAGTTTCGAAGTAGATGAAATCTGCCTTACGGCATCCCCTCACCTCTGATTTTTGGTGCTGTCTCCTAGGGATCCAGGGATCTTTCCAGTAGCCTGGCATGATCTGTGGATTTCCTACCTACTCCTGAATCAAATTTACCCATTTCATGTCCCATTCATCCAGGGTCCTGATGTCATAATGGGCATGCACAGAGCCTAATGGTTACCCTTCCAAATGAGAGGTGGCAAGGTGGAAAGGAAAGATTACTGGGCTGAGGGTTGGAGGTTAGTATCTGAATGTCACTTCTGCCCTGTATTAAGAGAGTCACCCTCAAACAAGTCTTTTAACCTTAGCTTCAGTTTCCTAATCTGTAAAATGGGGACAATAATACATGCTCTACCTACCTTCAAGGTTGGTGTGAGGTAAAGGCCTTATAGAAGAGCTATAAAAGTGCTATAATTATTATTATTCCAAGTACCAAATTTTCATTTTAACAAAGTCTTTTTGTAAAATGGGAATTAAGGAAGAGGAATTAATTCATACTAATATAACCATATTGTTGTGAATTTTAAGCTTCAAGGCAGTGCATGATGGGATGGAGAGCATGTGGTGGGATAATTTTCAACATATGGATAGGGAGGGGATAGAATAAGCATTTACTATGTACCAGACAATGTGCTAAGCTATTTACAAAGATGACATTTGATTCTCACAATCCTTTGAGGTAGGTACTATCATGATCCCTGAAATTGAGTCAGACAGAGGTTAAGTGACTTGCTCAGGGTCACACAGCTAGTAAATATCTGAGGTTGGATTTGAACTCAGGCTCATTCTATCCACTTCACCTACACTTCAAGCTACATTAGCTTGACCTTTCAGTCTTCCTTCCCCTCCCAAATCATAGCCCCTGGCCCATACCTACAGAGGATTCAAATGCCACACCTAAGGCTTTCTTTTTTGAAACCATTTTATATTGGTATCAATGCTAACATAGGTTAAAACAAGGAACTGGATCCATGGCAAGAGACATACCAAGGACAAGTAGTGCCCAAAGGGAAACAGCCAACCAAGAGCAGATGGGAGCAACTTTACCATTACCAACAGCATGGTGCCAAAGGCTGTGGAAACAGTCTGGCCAACCACCTGCTGTCCTGTGGATAGCTAACCCAGTCTAGGGAAGGAATTGAGGGAAAGCAGAGGCCTGAGGAGGAGGAAGCGAAGAGCTTAAAGAGTTAACTTAACAATGAAGAAATGCTCCTGTACAAAGATCTGCTTCAGCAGTTCTCTGGCCCAGCTAAGGGCAGGGAGGATGAGGCTGGGCTGGCTGGCATTTCTCTCTGTGTGCACTTGGTCAGAAGTGAAAGGATGCCTGCAGAGTCACAGACAGCAGAAGTGACATTTCTAGAAATAGAGATGGTTTAGAAAGTGTAACCTCTTCATTTGGGCTGGGATTAATTGACACTGCATGTGATTCTGACTGACATTGAAGCAAGGTACCAAAGTCACGTAGAACATGTACTCAGAAGATTCCAAAGGGAAAACAAAGCTTGGATCTCTCTCTCTCTCTCTCTTTCTCTCTCTCTCTCCTGTCTCTTTTTCTCTG